GCACACACACATACACACACACACACGCACACACACATACACACACACACACGCACACACACACGTTTGTTCTTGAACCCCGTGGGGACCTTCCATTAATTTTCATTCATTTTTTATTAACTTTATAGCCCAACCCTGACCACATACCCTAAAGTTAACCTCAGGTACCTACCTGACCCTAAAACGAACCCAAACCTTGGTCCTAAACCTAACCCCACACCCGTAATTTGCCGTGGCGACCTGGCATTGGTCCTCAGCTATGTCTAATACGAGTTCCGCCTTCCAACATGGCAGTTTTAACCGGAAATACCTGGAAATATTATGTGACATGGGAACTATGTATACTAGCTTCTCTGCCTTTACCTCAGCAGCAACAACTCCCCAAAGGAGCCCAGATGCTCACAGCCACAGGTAACCGATACTGCATGGTTAATCATCTTTAGTCATCATCTTTGAGTTTGAGCAAAATGTTTTCACAGAGTTGTAAGAAATACGTGTTTTAATATCGGCTGACAATCAGATGAAAACACAAATGTTAAATAAAATGATCTGTAATAGGAAATAAATGCCATACAACACCAGAATTCCGGAGTGGGGTTTATTATGGCACCGGCTGACAAGTCAAAACCACACACTGCCTGAAAAACAGGAAGTCCCCGGTTAAATACAGTCCAGGAATCTTCAATGCCTGAGTTCGCTCTCTGCTGGCCTACGGCTGAATCACAGGCATTCAGACAAAAAGACCTCACTCTTATGTTAATACAGCTTTTAATTATGTGTTGTTAATAATTCGGACATGTATCTACCCTATTTCAGTTAACACATAATAGATCAAACATTATAACAATATTATAATAAGAAACCCTTAATACACTGGTGTTGTTTCTGAAATCAGTACTAATCTGTAATAATTATAAATTTCTTCAGAGTGACAAACAACTTTATGAGCTGTGGGTTTCTCATTTTTACAGTGTCGCTTCACGTTTTGTTCCCCTTCATGAAAAAATTAAAAATAATTTTGGGCCTTGTGTGGGTCAGATGTGCTGTTTTTGTTTGCCACGCACATCTTGCTCATGTGTGTTGATTTGATTTGATTTATTGATTCAACAGGAAAAGATTACTAAAAATCAAGCCTGACTCAGAATAATTGCTGTTTTACAGCA